AGATGGTACATAAATCTCAAAGTTGACAGTATCATACATGACACAAAGGATATTACCATTAAACTATTACCTAGTTCCTTATACTTGTCTACAGAACTCAGCTTTTCCCTCATATTCCACAGGGCCCCATGACAGCATTCTTGATTTTCTTTGTTGGGGATTTTTGGAGGTCAATTAAAGTTTTCATGACAGTATCGTCCTTTACCATGACATCCTGGTTTTCTTTGTCAAAAGACAACATCCACAATGCTCCCAGAGCCTCTGTATTAAAAAAAACAATCCCAGACAATTTAAATTTAACCTTCAACAATGTGTTAAACAACTAATATTTGTGTAATCTTTTTTTCGCGATTCGTCAGCTTGCAATCAGTCCGCGATGTTTAATTTTTGCATCTGAGGAAACATTCTCTACCAATGCAAGGCTAAATAATATAACACTATTATAGCCTGTCATTACCTATTTGTTCATTTTCATACTTGGACTGCGCTAAGGACACAAGCACTGGAAGGCAGCCCTGGGCAACCAAAGACTTCTTGTTAACATCATTTCTTGCAATTCTCCTTATAGCTATGAAAGAAACCAAACATAGTATTTTAAAAAACTGCAAAATTAATAAAACTGCAAAATTAATCAGAAATTTCCTGCATGTCTTTCACTGTAATTAGATGAAGAGTTATCAACAAAATAAGTACTTCTAGCCAGTTCCCATGCGGCCCATCCTTTACATCTTCTATGCCGATCTTCCATTGATGACCTCAGACACTTCAGCAGGAAGGTAAAGAATTCTCCGTGACTCTCTAAATACATGGCCTGGGTTTCATCCACCAGGTCGGCCAGAGTGGCCAGTGTAGACAGAAGGATTCTCTCCTTGGTGGATTTCAGGTACGGCAGGAGCACTTCCACAAAGCCGTGATCTCGCAGCTCAGTGATACTGCTCTCCGCCTGGGCAATGTTGTGGATTATTGACAGGTATGATTGAAGAATTTTGGCATCCTTTTCCTGTTCAAATAAAGATTAAATACCTGGTACATGTATATCTAGTTTCCCTATGAAACATTTCTTAATGTATCATTTACAGACTCTGACTACTCACCAACATATTGTCCTGTAAGTGACTCTCCCTCAGTCTCTGAAGAGCTTCACAGATCTGGGGCAGGAAGTCCCCATGTTCCACCAGTAAGTGGGCAAAATTAGGATTAATGTCAGTAAAGTTAATCATCACAATGGCCGAGTTAATGAGAGGAATCCAGATCCCCTGAATCAATTTACCATCTTCCATATAATACCCGCGCCTTTCACAGTAAACAATCACATCACACACTGTCTTCACACCCCCTAGTTCCACAAAAACAGCACCTTGTTCTTGTTTGAAAGCATCATTAATTTCTAAACTAGTCTTATTCAAAGCAAAATGACATTTTTGTAACTGAAATGTTGCCCCTTTGAAAGCTTGGTTAAAGGTTCCTTTTTCATTCAAGTGTCCCTCAATGTCTGATAGAATCTCCAGATTGGTTTGAATGGACTTCAGAGTCTTAGTTTTGATCGCCTGGATTTCCTCCTCCGTGAGCTTTTTATTCTTTTCTTCAGTCACTGTCTCTTCTTTCTGAGTCTCCTCTTCATTGCTGTCTTTTATTTGACTTTCTGCTGGTTTGGGAGGCTCTGAGACTTCCTGTGTTATGGTGCTGGTATCTGTAGGTTTTGACAAATTTTTCTCCCCACTAGACATAGCTGTCTCAGATATTCCTGTTTCTTTAACTTCAGTCTTTTCATCCTTTGCGTCAGACAAATTTAGTTCTTCTTCCATGTCTTGTACCACCAATTTTTGTGTTTCAGAAGCTGAAATATCCCCGTGATTTTTTTTCTTGTCAGAATCTGTGTGTTTCTTTTCGGTTGGAGATGAGTTTCCTTTTGAGATTTTACTATTTAAGGAGGAAGTAAATATCTGACTGTCAGTCACCACAGTCTTACCCCGTGTAGAAGGCCCTGACCCCATCAGATATTTAAGATAATGACAAACTCAATCCAGTTGAAAATCTACCAAAGGAATTCAAAATATATATATTTCAATCATTTGACGCCATTACTTTAATCAAGACTGTATTAAAGAGCATCAATGACTTTTCCATGTCTAAACATGCATGTGGCAATATATGTATTACATGTATACTAATCAATTAACTCTATGTGCCCAATGATTTTTTAATTCCTTCAACACTGTTCAAATTTTTAAAAAATGGAACCATATTCCATTTAGATTATTGTTTACAGGTATTGATTAATCCTCCATTGAATTGATATATTGTTGAAAACTTGTAATAGAATTTACTGAGTACGATACAAACTGTCAATAGAGAGAAAATGAAGTAAAAATAAACATTTGCATGTCAGTTATTATAACAGAGACTGCATGCTAAAAATTTCTGGTTCCTCACCACCAAAATGTAAAATGCATATTTCTTATAAAAAATATTTGAGAAAAAATTATTTAGGCCTATATTAAGCCATAAAAAGAAGATCCTTTTTTACAAAATCATCGGAATAGGCTATTGCGTAATCGTGTTTACCTTATCAACATGTCCAACCTTGATGCAGCGTGCCCATAAGTGACTTCTGGAAGTAAAATCCAATGCTTCCTTCAAAATCCTTCATTCTTGCTGATAACTTTAACGATCAAAGCAGAGTACTGGGTTAAAATCGTGGGGTATGTTCACACAAAGCATCCAGGACAGTTTTGTTTTGTTCAATTCAATATAACCCAATTCTACAAAGGGAGGTTATTAAGAGAATGATTCCCGAACCCGACTAAATAAAAACATAAAATAGCAAACAACAAAGAAAACAAGATGTGTTTGTGAAACACTATGCGCCCGACAGCAACAAAGTTCGAAAAAAGCTATTTTTAGCATATAGGTCACAGTCAAGGTCCCAAGGTCATTGACCTTGGTGTCATTTGAAAGAGCTTAATTAGTGGAGTATGCATACTAAATATGAAGTCTCTATCTTTCATGGTTCAAAAGTTATGGCGAAGGTTAAAGTTTGGGGACAAACAAACAGACAGACAGACAGGACAAAAACAATATACGCCTCGGATCTATCGATACGGGCGCATAAAAATTAACATCTCTGTAATTTTTTTGTTTAATAAATGTTTTCATTTTTCTTAAATATTTTTGATAAGTACCTAAGTGTAATAGAATTATAAGTGATTTGATGTCATCTAACAAGCTTGGATACTTGTTGAGGAATGGGAAAATTTTTGTCTTAGTCGTAAGATTTTTTGTGAAAAGGGTCAGTATATTGCAAATAGCGAGATCTATCCGATCGAGTACCTGTTCATTTTATTACCGGGTATGTATTAATTTTGAACAAAAAAGTCCATGATAAAAATCACTGAAAAATAGGACTGAACTATTCGTAAGACTATAATTTATACTAGGATCGGAATATTTTTGGGGGAAATAATGCAGGTTAACATATACATGTATATAATGTAGATGAACTCAGAGTAATTGTGAGCACTGCGCTCACTATATGATACCCCCTGCCTCCTATATGATCATAATGGCAAAATCCATCTTTTGCTCTGGAAGAACTGAAATTAGTGTGAGATCAAAAAGTAAAATAAGAGGTCACAATGGCAATATGTAATAACGAAATCTGTGAAAGTAGCAATAAATTTTATTGTTCAGAGTGGTATAGGGCATCGGACACTTCCGAGAAAGGTGTCTTCATCTTCATCGCCTTAACCAGATTTCTAGAAAGCGCAAAGGGGGGGTGTTAGGGACATCTCCATGCTGACAGAATTTTTTTTTTTTTACCGTTTTCTTGTGTTCTAGTGTCTTTTTTTCCACCTATCAAATAAAACAAAATCTAGCAACAGTACTTAAAACGGATGAATTAGGATGGAATTAGTTTGTCTTTTATATAAAATTTAACAAATGTTCAATGTTCTTTTTAAAAGGGGGGGCTGATCGCATCCAACGCATATCCGTTCACCGACGGAGTCATATTACTTTTAAGAAAATGGAGAGAAAAAAATCAAATTCCGGTGATGATGAGTGGTTCTGACGTTTAGATTTCTCCACGTGACCCGCCTAGAGCCAGCTTCAGGTGGAGTGTAATGGATTTATTCACGTGTAAATTTCCCGTTATCTCAATGTATACCCTACGGTTATCATATATTGACGAAACAAAACAAGATTTTGTTCTTTCATAACCTATTTTTTAACCCTTCAAAATTAATTATGTTTTTTACCTCATTTAATTGTTGATAATTTTAATAATTGTAATAAAATGATGAATTCGTAAAAAAAAAAACGTACTAGAGCAATACTTTCACTAGAAAAGGGAGAAAGAATGAAAAGTAGTCGACCAACTGCGTATATCCTGCAAATGACCACTGTACTTCGTATTAGTCGAAACAACCCAGAACCAAAGAATTTCTATGGAACAAATTTTTTAGCATCCTTCAAATTTATTAATTTGAAGTGCCAGGGCTCCAGCTCTGCACTTAGTAAATTTCAAACAACAAAATGTATATTTAATCGGTGATATCACTTGAGTAATTATCAAAGAAATAAATATAATATTATTTAAAAAAATAGTTGAATGATTTATATTAAGTATTGCTTAACTCTTCCCAGAATGAATGCAACTTCCGAAATCTATTTACCAAAGACAGAGACATTAAATGTCACCCCCGATAAGATACGAGTCGGTCCCCCGGGCCAGCTGACGACCCAGGCTGATCAGTGGTTATTGATCTGGAGTCGTGTACTGGACAACACCTTTACTGGATATCAGTTAAATCAACTAAAACAAACCCAAAAATTGATTTTAATTGATTTCCGGGATATTTTAACTCTCAGGTAATTGAATTTTTTCAGGAAAATTTAGAATAACCTTTTTTTGACTGATAAATAATCAAATATTTCATGAATGAACTCCTGTAAAACCAAATCATTATACTGTTTATTCTAAATTATTCTATTTTAAAGAGATGGCGCTTTGTGCTGCAGTTGCGGTCCTGCTATACTTCGTTTTGGGAGTATACGGCCAAAATCCACCCTTGTGTAAGTACTCATAGCTAGATTATCCACTGAAAGTTTAAAGAAAAAGTAAAAAAAAAAAGTGGTTTGAACTTTCTTCATTCAAAAGATTAAAAAGGAATTGTTCCTTTTCCTCGTGAAGTTTTGGTTCGTTTATTTTTCTTTCCGATACTTTCCTAATGCATATATAGTGAAGAAAAATTAATTAACAGATGATTCATTTTTTTTTTTTGGAAGTGTTGAATGGGTTTGAATAGACTTTTTTCTTAATTTTTTTTTTTAATTAGAGTTTTTAGCCATTTTCTTCGCTTTCTTTAATCGCAGTATTTTTGCCACGACTTCCGTCAACAAATGATATCTTACCTTAGGAACCATCAGCTTCATAGTTTTCAGTCTGTTACTTTGAGACCAGATTTGTCAGCTTCTCTATAGAATTTGCCTTCCCTATAAATCTTTGGTTTGTTGAGCAAAATTGTCAACCGAAGTCTACTTTATTTCCGAACTTCATTCTTCATGATTGAAATCTCAAAGTAAACCGACAGCACAGAAGATACAATTTTATTTCAAAATGTTTACAATAGGAAAGATTTAAAATAAACCCTGCTGTTCTGATCGTGAAAAACTTCATTTGAAGCTTCTGCAAATTAGTTGTGTCACAATCAACAAGAAGCCTATAAAATTGTTTCCATGTCTTCAAACTTTAACTTTTTTCCTCAGTTAATATACACTTTACATATACGTGTATAAGGACTTGATTCAGAACTCTTTTTTTAAGCTTTCGCCTTAACGAACCACTGTGTTGGACCGGGTGCAGTAGCATTTGCATTAGATGGATCAGAAAGCATCAATGCTTCCAATTTTGAACTATTGAAACAGTTTGTAAAAGCCAATATTCAACATTTCAAGATTGGACCAAGCAACATTCAAGTGGCCGCTTTTGTATTCAGTCAAGCTATCGGGGACGATGGATTCCCGTTCGACAGTCAGGACACAAACTACACACTCTTTGCCAAAGTGGATGCCTTGAAGTTAATACGTATGGCTACATTTACTGACGTAGCGATCACCGAGATGATCCGCCTTCTTATCCAACCAAACGTCCCCTACCCTAAGGTGGGCGTGATCCTGACGGACGGGGCATCGTACGACCCGGTGAAGACCCAGACAGCGGCCGCTGCGGCCCGTACCCTGGGGGTGACCCTCATTTCTGTGGGTATCGGAGTCTCCCCTGGATCAGCCGCTGCGGCAGAACTTACCGCCATTACAGGAAACCCCTCACAGGTTCTCCTGTTAAACGGATACAGCCAGCTGACAAACTTAACTGGTGTAGCCATACTTAGCGATTTACTGTGTCGAGGTAAAGTTAAAAATCTACCAACAAATTGAAACAAAATGCACCAGTTTTTACATTAACACATGTTTAAGATTGGAATTTTTTTTAAAAAGTCCACAATTACCGGTATATATACGTATACAAAAGAGGACAAAAAAACCTTTGGTTTCCTATTTAGATCTATTACAAATAAGACGTTTGAATTAAAAGAAATAATTTAAAAATAACAGTTACTACTGTTTATGTTTAGCAATAACAACATCCACGAGCACAACTACAACAACGACACCTGTCCCAACGACAACAACCAGTACCCCGATCCCGACGACACAAAGACCAACAACACCAACTCCAACATTACCACCTCTGACTACCCAGAAACTCCAGACTGATAAAAGTAAGTATACTCCACAATTATGAACCACTTATTCCAGCATTACTAACTCTGACCACCCAGAAACTCCAGACTGATAAAAGTAAGTATACCTCACAATTATAAACCACTTACTCCAGTAGTACCACCTCTGACCACCCAGAAACTCCAGACCGATAAAAGTAAGTATACTCACAGCAGAACACCAACCGAACATTACCACCCATGTACTTAAGAATGGTGAATGAAAGACAGGCCACCTAGCCTATTATCACCAAGAAATTTCAGACCGACAAAACTGAGAATACCATAATAATAATATAATCAGCGTGCATTACCAAGAGGTTTTTGAAAGATATCAATTGATGAAAATTCTTGGATAATTCAAAGAAAAATATATAAAAAATACAAAACTTATATTCTTGGTGTTTCTTTTATCCATATTGTTTTCAAAAAAGTGTATAGCACCATAGATAGACATTAAAATGCAGCACACAGTTCTTTCAAGAATTGGAACTTTTCAACTCCAAGGAAAAAGACAAAAAAGAATCAAACTACGTTGTACATGTATGTCCTTAATTGAAGGAACTTAGTCTTACATGATCTGATTCTAATTGCAGTCACTAACCCTTTGTGTGAGGGCTGTATTATAGCTGACGGTGTAGGATACAACAGGCACGGATCTAACTGCCAACGCTTCGTCCAGTGCTACTTTGAGGATGATAAAGCGGTTGCCGTGGAGAAGAAGTGTGGATTCGGACAGTTCTTCTCGCTGTCTCATCTGACGTGTGTTCACGCTGAATACTCGGACTGTCCATATGGTACGTACAGTTGTGTGCCAAAAGTGAAGATAATTTTATTTTTTCTTTATATATTTCATTGAAAACAATATTTTGTAAAATCGCTGGTATGACAACATTTCTTGACAGATTTTATTAAAAATTTCTTGATAATCCAAGAAATTGTTGTAGTTAAAAAAACAATAGTTTTTATCTGATAAGCATTGATAATTTAAAAATATTGTAGTTTAAGTGTGACATGAATTTTTAAGTCATATACTAGTACTCACAATGAATTATATAGTCAACATTGATCTTGAATTTTAGAACTGATGTTTAGTGATGAACTATATTTTACTACATATTAAACGTGTAATGATCTTTTAAAGAAAGATAACTACACATTTTCTGGTTTAAGTACTGAAATAAATAATTAAATTGGACAAAAATTGACCATTAACCTATGATTTTAAAAAATGTTGTTTTCAATGAAATATAGAGAGAAAAAATAAAATTATCTTCACTTTTGGCATGCCACTGTAGTTTAATCCTACAGTTAGTTTAAATCTTCCGTTTGTGATCGACTTCCTAATATTTTAAAAGATTTTTGGAGCTATAATAAGTAGTTGATAACTAGTTAATAACTAATTCAAGTGATCATTTTGTTAATCCAATTGATTTGATTGTTAATTTTAAAAACTTTTTTTTTTATTTTTTTCTTCATTTTCCTAATAAAATACTAGTAACTTTTATTTATCTTCGCAGATCCTTGTATTGGTCAGCCTGATGGCGCCAGCTGGAACATGGCAGAGAACTGTCAGGGTTACTGGACCTGTATAAACGGCCACTCTGTGCCTACTTGTTGTGGAAATCAGACTCGGTACGTCACAGGTTCCGGCTGTGCGGCTGACGTCACATGTACAGAGGCATGTCCACCAAAGCCCACCACTGTTGCATGTATGTAACAACGCAGATGATATATTTTCCCTCATGCCATGGTCAGCATATTTATCACTTGTCAATTAGTCCAAATTAGTCCAAAAACCATTATTAGCAGAGGACCAAAATTCTTTTTGTAATAATAACTATGAAACCACTACAATAATCAAACATTGTTTTGGAATGTTTGCTCCCCCTAGACACTTGTTCCTGCGGGTTTTTTTCACTTCATGATGTATTAAGAGGTTTCTGTTTGATCTTCTCCCAATCTGTACTGTTTGATCTTCTCTCAATCTGTACTGTTTGATCTTCTCTCAATCTGTACTGTTTGATCTTCTCCCAATCTGTACTGTTTGATCTTCTCCCAATCTGTACTGTTTGATCTTCTCCCAATCTGTAATGTTTGATCTTCTCCCAATCTGTACTGTTTGATCTTCTCTCAATCTGTACTGTTTGATCTTTATCCAATCTGTACTGTTTGATCTTCTCTCAATCTGTACTGTTTGATCTTCTCTCAATCTGTACTGTTTGATTTTCTCCCAATCTGTACTGTTTGATCTTCTCTCAATCTGTACTGTTTGATCTTCTCTCAATCTGTACTGTTTGATTTTCTCCCAATCTGTACTGTTTGATTTTCTCTCAATCTGTACTGTTTGATCTTCTCTCAATCTGTACTGTTTGATCTTCTCTCAATCTGTACTGTTTGATCTTCTCTCAATCTGTACTGTTTGATCTTCTCTCAATCTGTACTGTTTGATCTTCTCTCAATCTGTACTGTTTGATCTTCTCCCAATCTGTACTGTTTGATCTTCTCTCAATCTGTACTGTTTGATCTTCTCCCAATCTGTACTGTTTGATCTTCTCCCCATCTGTACTGTTTCAATGGACATTTAAGTTTGATTACTGTTAATTCATTTTCTTCATTTTCGTTTCATGACTGTTACATCTTTTGTTCATTTTTAGTTCTTTGTGAGTCCCAGGCTGATCCCGACCCTAGTTACTACCTTCAGAATGTCAGTGGTGCCCTCTTACGGCGCCGCTGTGCACCGGGGACCCACTACGATGCTGGCTCCTGTGGCTGTTCTATCCTGGTTACCATCAGTCCATCAGCAGGTTCTCTTATCTCGTTAAATAGATATCTTAATTTACGAAACGTTTTCAAAAGTACATAATAATTTACTTGCTCCTTCTATGTACAAAGGAAAAATTTACCATGCCATTCAGACTACAGTGATAGTGATGACCAGCCTCGTTTTCAATTATAACATTTTTTTTTTTAGTCTGCTCCCCTATGCTTTACCACTCTCAGTCCGACCCTTACTTTTATGATGCTACAAACATAATTCCAGTCGGAATGGTCAACGTCGCCATAACTACAGGGTCGCGTGGTTTTGGCGGAAATGGCGAAATCAACATTTGGCGCCTGGCAAACCAAGATTTTCAAGACGTTCTTGTTGTCCGGTTTGAGCTGACAGTAGGGACGTCAGCCATTCCAAGGACAGAGCAGGTGCTTGTGAATTGTCTTCACTCCAATGGCGCGATGACGCCGGCATCTGTGGATATTCAGGTGATCAAGACCTCCACCGCGACTCAGTTAGTGTACACCCTCAGAGCCGGGGGCACGTCCAAAACGCTGACCTCCCCCGTCACGGTAAGTTGAAAATCAGCAAATACCTAATAAAAGTTAACGTTACGTCTTTCTTAGTAGAAAGTGACGTTATATGTTTAGTAAATGATTCTCTTGGTTATTCTGAAAGTTAATCATAATTGTTCATATTCATTATAAACTTTAATTAACTATTGTACTGTAGCCTGGGGTTGCTACAGAAGTGATATATGCTTACGATGGGTCAACATTCGCCGTGTACTCGGGGCCTGGGACCGAATCCTCCACGAATCTCAGAGGTTGGTTGTGTTCAGAGTATTTACCTCTCTGAATCCTTTTTTATAAAAATAAAAAAAGTGATAGTGAGGTGCCATAGTATGGGAAGATATTTGAGCAAAGTTCTTTGAATTTGGAGAATCAAATAAAGCCTTTGTAATTAAAAAAATATATATATATAATTTTGAATGTCTTACTGAAAGTTTAAGGTGAATGATTTAATTCATTAGGTAATGTTGAGAGACGACAAAGCGGCTTTTTATTAGGAAGACCAGCAGCAGCTTCAGGATCTATAAATAGATTGTCAGGAACTATAGCAAAGGTAAGAGTCAAATGAAACTTAGAGGGGTATTTTGAAGATATTCAAATAAATTTCATAAAAAATTGAAATGATACGGTTGACAGAATGAAGAATTTCTCTGACCTTGAAAAAAAAATCTTGTCAGTTCTTTTAGCAAAACAAAGCCTTCTAGGCCAAAGAAAACGTAGCTGTGTGAATCATACAACATTGACTTTAATAATAATAAAAATAAATAAAATATCTTTACGTTTATCCAGTTTGAGGTATACAACTGTGTGAGCGACTACGTCAAGAACGTGCTAGTTTCCATGTGATTATGTTATGAATCTGTCAACTGCCGTGTGATTGGTTAATATGGAACAGTCAAGATGACTGGGTCATCAAAGTCATGTGATCATCGTAGAACTACATCATTACATCCAAGATACATTTCGAATATTAACATTTTGATTGGACGATTGATAATTCACATCAACCTCTGTTTGAAATATGTCTCTTTAAATTAAAATAAAAAACATGTTTATTGGTTTTGTTTTGTATAAGAGCTGTGTATTTTTAAATAATAGTTAAGTTACAATTGTTTCATGTTATAGGATTCAGTTAAAGATTTTTATTTATTGATTTATATTTCAATGTATTTGGGTCAACTTTTTGTAGTGACTACAGATGCCTTGAGCTATAAATTTCCATTATTGAGGACTGTGTTTATTATTGTTAGAAAGTAAAATTGGATATGTTTTCTTCGTATATTTATTCTTTGTATGTTTATCACAAAATAAAAATTCTGATGACTTTGAAAATCGGTATCAATCTTACTTGTCATTATTTAGACAAAATACTTTATTAGTAAGAATTTTAATTATTTATATCGTTACTTGTTGATTTTGCATTATATCAAATTTACATAGTAGAAAGAGAAATTAAATATTTAACGAAGAAGATCTCTGTAGTTTTGTGTTGATAACAGGTTAGCCCGAGGACTTTAATTATCTGATAATAATTGTATGGTTTCTTGTTTATTTGACAGAAAGGTTAACAAAGTGTACATTTTCCGACTATGATTAAAACTTTTTTTTAGAATCCCTTAACTGTTTGATATCAAACCCTTGTATTACTTTAGGTTTTTTAAAAAAAAATCAGCATTTCTTGCGCTCTTTAACCTTATAAATTTTATATAATGAAATAAAAACTATGATTCAAACTAATCATTTTTCTAGGTTTTCTACAACATTATCAATATAAAATTTATGAACAGGGTAATGCAAATGTAAAAATCACTCTTAGTATTCCTTCTGCAATGATTTTCAATTCGTCTTTTGTAAATCCTTGTTTTTACTAGGGACCTTTAACAAAAGAGAGCGACACAAATTTTAAATCTTTACTTATTTTGAATCATTTACTTATCATTTTGATATGAGTTCTATGCACTCGATCACTTTTATACATTGTATTTTGCAATTTGTTTTAAAGTGAAAAATTAGTGAATAAGATTTGAAGGCAGAAACAATTTTAAGTTCTTTAAGATGTTTGTAAAAAAAAAAAAAATAGGTGCATGGCAACAAAAGAAAAGAAAGTCTAATATATATTTAAACAAAATTGCGAAACAAGTCTTTTATGCATACAGAAGAAGAGAGACAGTGTTTAAAATTGCCCAACCTAAACAATATGAATTTTTCGGATTTGGGGCTTTGAAACCCAGCTTTGCTTATATTGTTTGAAATGTCCTCCTAGCCCCCTGAAGATGATTTGCGTCGGACTCATCAACAGTGACCTACATCCTTCAATCAACTTTAACATTTAATCTTTTGCCTTAAATGATCCATCCCTATACGTATATATATATTTATGAATTTTTTAGTGCCTAAAGGACTGTTATTTAAAAAGAAATATTATTTTTATTGAAAACCTAAAAATAAATAAATAAATAAATGATTTGGAAGAAAACTGCCGCACAGGATTTGTGGCATCCGAAACAGGTTTTCGCCATTTAAAAAAAAAATATTCCTTGAGTCTTTAGAATTTTAAACTGCAGGTATTCTTTCTTCTACGCGTTATTTTTCATCTATATACCCAGCATTACTTGAATAATCAGTGGGTCATGTAATTTGTCAAATCCACATGTACATTTTTGCATAACAATCAAATCAGATAACCTTAAAGAATTGCCGAAAAGAATTTCTTGGTCACATCTGGGATTTGAAATCTCACTGCAGCGATTAGAGTCAGTTAGATTATAGACCTCAAAGACTACAGAGGAATAAAGTAAAGATCAGAGGAGTATGTCATTAAGATAGGATATCAACAGTGAAGGTATGTATTTCTATATTCCATAAAATTAAAAATAAAAACGAAAATTTATTAATAAGGTAAATCGGTTCTTTGATACACATGTACTTATATAAATGGATACAACATAATATCAAATGCATAACATTAATTTTTCTTAATATCAGGTTCAGTATGCAGTTTCCCGGAATATTTTTGTCTTTCATCAGTATTATTTATAGTAACACAAAACTCACACAAGCAGGTAAGTTTATATTGAAAATTAACCATCTAGATCTGTGTTGAATTTGTTTTTGATTCTGGAAAATTCGCAAATAAGAAAAAACCAAGTAAGTATATACTACAGTTAAATTTGTCAAATCCGAATGTTGCATTTTCCGAAATCTTAAATATCACGATTTAAATTCAATAAATTAAAATGTTGGAACAATAATGGTGTCCGTATCAGACAAGTTTTACCGTTTATATATCATGTATTAGCAGAAGTCTTCTGTGATGGCCGGGTCAGTTTGGTCATCGCGATGGATTCCTCCTCTAGTCTGACCTCCATACAGTTCCTACAGATTAAGAACTTCACAGCTAACGGTCTGGTGAAGCGGTTCATGTACCCACACACCATCGCCACGGTGGCATTCGCCGAGAACGTGGAAATTGTCACTGATTTTGGGGAGCTAAACAGCGATAAAATTATGATGTACAATTCTAACAGGAACTACCAGACCAGAATTGACTATGCTATCGGTGAGTATCTGTTTTTCCCATGTTTTTAATTCTTCCGATAGATTTTCAAGTCTTTCAAGAACTTTTGGAATTTTAAGTCCATTTGTTTTCTTCCAAATCCAAAATCAGTACCCTCAACACATATAATTACCTTTGTCCATTTCTTACAACCTTTCCCTTCGACAAATAAAAAATACTTGGCTCTTTGACATTTGCAAATTCTTCTTTCGAATAGATCTCGGAATTTTTATACTGGTCGTCAACAAAATTGATTTGTTAATAACAACAGCTCAGACTCTACACACAAAATATGAATGAAAACTGCTTTTCAGATTAGAATCCTTCTTCCCCTTAAAGGATGTAAGAGATCCTTATTTACAAAATCTGTGAAGTCTTTAATTTCATAGTTGAAATTTCATTGGATACTGATTGTTCTCCTTTATAAGCCAACCCTGTTTTATGTCGCTGTGTAACAGAATTTATATAATAGAAATCTACTTGAGAAGAGGAAAATCACTTGATGAGGCTTTCAGATAAAAGATAATTCTATTCCTGTGCCTATTTTATATATTCCAGTAAACTCGAAAGAAAAGACCAAATTTCATTCTTTTAATGACTACAGAAAGATTTTCTTTTCAATTTCAAGAGTCGATTCATATAGTCTGGGTTTTTTTTTTTTAGGAAACATGACGGACATGTTGTCTAGTAGTCCTTTTCTGGACCCAGATGTTCCGAAGGTCGCTCTAATTCTGACTGATGGGAAGAGCACGAGCGGCATCGAACTACTACACAGTGCCGCCATGTATGCCGATAGAAATAATGTATATGTGATGGCTGTCGGGGTGGGAGAGGAAAGGAACCTATCCCCAGCTGAATTGAATAACATGACTCATGGAATTCAAGAACATCAAAAAATCATCCCATACAAAGAACTCGCGAGTTCTCTCGACAAAGTGGTAGAGCAAATCTGCTACCGTAAGTTTAGATCTTACAATATATAAATAAGCTAACGAAATTATATGACGATTTCGGTCCTTTCCTTTACTTAACATCGATTAAAATGCAACGAGACTGAATAAAACATACATTTTTTTCAGTTTCTCAAAATGGAGCCATGAGAACAGGAGGTAAGACGAAACAGCAAACAAACACATTCATATATGTGAACAAATTTGTTATTATAGCTTCGTGCAGTTCTATACTTTTTAAACAGAAATGAATCAAGATATTAGAAATGCAGGTTTTAGAATACTAGGATTTTCAATCTTTGAAAACGTTTAGGCTAATAGACTGTGTTTTTGTTTGTATTTTATCTCAGAAATCCGAGGACGTTATCTTCTCACTATTGTTTTTGACGTCACGATTCAGAGCCTCGATCTGACAAAGGAGTTCATTTCCCGACTCCTTGAATACATTGAGTTCGGTAACCCTTCGATGAATCTGATAATTGCAACACTAGCTGATGGAGCAGCGTCTATCGGGCGTTTCGATGAAACGGCCAGTTTAATTGAAGTTAGGAAGTTCCTAGACCACATGACTACTAGAGATCACGAGTATTTTGACGCGGTTTTGGCTTACAAGAAAGTAGAGAGCGACTTCCTGTATGCTCCAGGAGACTCCTCCAAGATGGCACTGTTTATTACGGACAAGCCACTACATAAGAGTGGCTTTGCTTATACAAGGGTTTTCTTAAATTCAAAATCAAAATCTAGTAACGTACAGATCATGTACCTTGGAATAGGCTCCGCTGTAAATCCGGATTTTAGTCTTGCTCTAGCTAGTTCTAAAGTCGCAAACAGAATCATTGTGTCTAACCAGTCACTTCTGTCAAGTGGACTGAACAATATTGTGAGAGCAATTGGTACAGGTAAGATTTGTTAGTAGAGTTAAATATTTAAAAATATAAATTCCACCGGTAATAATTTTCAAGTTCATTATCTGTTCATCTGATTGCACTTAACATGTAGATCGACTTATTCTATCATTTATTAATTTTTGATCATTTATCCTTTTCCTTTCAACCTACAGAATTGTTGAAATATCCAGTACCAAGTAAGTATGTTGAATTGCAGTCATTCTTTTAGATACATGAATATTGTAAATTATTATGACCTCCACTGAAGAATTTATTTTTGTTTATTTGATCCTCTGTTTTGTTTCAGGGAATGTCAATCACCGTGGTAAGGGATTAATAAATAAATACATATGTGTACTGTACTTTGTAATGACTTCCTGGACATGAGACTTTTGCATCACTTGATTACAACATTTGCAT